GTGTGGGTTGACTTCTCTATAATTACGTTTTGATAGTGATATCTTGTATAATTATTGGTACGTACACAAATCTAATCTATACATAGCTCATTATACTAAAGCTTAATTATTTACTAATTATTTGTGGTGGGCCTAATGATTGATACATAAGGCTAAGGGTGGGGAGCTGTGTCCTTGTTGTCCCTGCAGGATAGAGGGAGAGATGGATAAAATTATAAAAGGGTTGTCGTTTCGTTGATAAAAAATGATAAATGGATGTCGTTTCATATCCACCTCCCAGGTCTGGCTGGCCACCAGTTAGGTTTCTCCACATCCCATCCATACATTATTCCTTTTATCTTTCATTTCTTTGAGGAATCTACTTTTCATATTTATATTTTTAAAGAACATTTTGGATAAATTACGAAAATTTGTGTTATTGACACCCATTGAATCTTGACATGGTATTAGAATTGGTTGATAATGAAGTCACGTGTTTCAATAAAGGATGACAAAAATATCTGTAACCGTGGATATCCGCTCGAATCTGACCTAATCTGGTAGGGTAAAATTCGAACCCGAAGGACTTTTAGTGTGTACGGGTAAAACCTGAACCTGAATATTGCGGGTGATGGATGGGCATGGTTTTTCACTATCCAACCCGAACCCGTTCGATTATACACATATATGTATTTTGTCTATAAATAATCATTATTTTTCTCTAACATATTTTATATTTAGCATATAAATATAATATTTTCATAAAATTGTGTATATTAATTAATTTTATTCATTCTACTGAATTATTATCGTACTTTTTCTCTTATGTAATATGAGTATAAGTGTGAATGTTAATATAGTGGTTGGAGTTATAAAGAGAAATTATTACCCATGAATAACCGTGGATACCCGAAAGCCGAATGAGTATGGGCATGGTATTGATTTTCTACTCGTTTCTCATATGGGTATGGGTATGGGTAAAATCCAAACTATTTTGGGTAAGTTAACGGATATGCATTATCCGCAAACGACCCGACCCATTGCCATCCCTAGTTTCAATCATCGTGACTTCTAATATTGATAGTTAATTTGAAATACATGGTAGTTGGTACGAAGAATATGTACAAATTTCAACCTCACAAATGTTTTTTTTTCATTTAAAAGGATATGTAAGAATAGGGTGAAGAATAAACGTTTTGGAAGTTTAGTGCTTATCCTTTTACCAAAACCATTTATATGTATATTTGACTGTGGAGTGAGCAATCCAAAAACTTTATGCTCGTGAAGCACGATAACTTGTGCTTGGAGACGAATGTCTACGGATTATCATTCCTCCCACTTGACCCCTTTTGATAAACTAAATTAAAAATTGTCTCTATTAAATCCGTGATAAAAAAATAGATTTTGATATACTCTTGTTTTCTTTGTATATTAAATGAGATAATTTCAACTAAAAAAATATGATGATTATATTAATTGATAAGTAGTGACGATTAGGCATTCTAAACCGTGTTGCAAATTCACCGGTTTCGCAGAAGACTATCTTGTATTTTCAATTGTAAGATAACATGACTTAAATTTTTGCAATGGTAAAATCAATTGAATATTTGTAATCTTGCAATAAATGATATTACTTACGAAAGTCATAGTGACCTAAAAAGTAAGGGATGGGACGATCTTGTAGCGAGATTATCTATTACAAAAATCACTTGGCCTTATTGATTGCAATTGCAAGTGAATTGCACCGATGTAGCTGGTACAATGAAATTAACACGAGTTGGATTGTCGAAATTGTTGATGTGATAATAGAAATCACATATATAGTTTATTTTCCAATTGCATTGATGTATATGCTCTGATACATAGGAGGGAAAAAATAATTTAAGAGCTAATAAGCAATAGTGAACTTGTCCAAACCAATGGAAAAAGAAAAGACGGGGTGGTCATATAGATAATTAAGGTAGGACGAGTGTGGTATCTTGATAATGGGATCATATAAGTTTGAGCCAAATAGTTGGATGTAAGTTAGACAAAAATAGATTTATCGTGTATTTGTGAACGTGGTTCAAATATAAAAACTATGTAACTCAAAACACACACTCTAAATCTAATATGGAAATGTAACACATTTAACCAAGTTGAACTGGTTGAGATATGAGGTTAACAGTTACAAGACAGTGCTGTTAAACTTAGAATTAACACGATATCATATAATTAGTAAAAATAGATAACAAATATGTTAAACTTTAATAATTTAGAATAGAGAAAAATCTAACGGGGATGAACCTATTAATCATAAAAAAAACGAGAATATCTACTACGCCATAGATTATAACCTTCTAAACCAAGGTTGTCAACCCGCGGGTTGACCCACGGGTCGACCCAATTTGACCCTGACCCGGTGAGAAAAACGGGCCGCACGCACCCGCCGGGTCGACCGCTATAAGGTACCGGGTTGGAGGTCAAATTGTGTTATTTTTTTCTTTAGTTTGCGAAATGCGCCTATTTTCCAATTTTTCTTTTCGCCTAACTCAATCTTTGGAATACTAAGTTGAACATTTGAATATTTATGTTATATAAGTGTGTGTGAATTTTCACTATATGTTGGATCTAAGTACGATATGTTATTTTGGTGTAATATTATATGTTATAACTCATATGTTAGATGAGATTTGATATAATTTATGAGGATAAGTACAATATAATGACTCTTTCTATATTTCCGGGCCAAACCGGGCTAAAACGGTTGACCCATTAACCCTTAACCCACTAGCTCGACCGGGTCCGGGTCAACCCGTGGGTTGACAACCTTGTTCTAAACAGAATACGTTAGAATATAAAACAACATAATTTAATATTTGATTGAAACATATTGCGAACTAGGTTGGTTATGGTGAGAGGGTGCTGAAGAAATACCAATGAACAAGCTCATCTTATCCACAAATTACAAACTACCAATCTAATTAAGTATGTTGGCTAAACTTTAGGTGTATCAATGACACGTTTAAGTAATTGTCTAAGTTGACATGTGATTGAAAATAAGTTGGTTTTTTCGATTTTTATTGACTTCAAATTTCTCACTCCACTTGGAATCTACTTTTCATATTTATTTTCTACAATTCTCACTTCACTTTGATTTAAAACTAAAAAGTTAATAAACACCAATATATATACAATTAACGGGGATGGACGAGAAAAACAAACATTTCTAATGTTTCTATGCTTTTGGTGGCTATCATATCGCGCCACTTTTTTCTTTTATCTCAATTCTCAAACATGAAATAAACCTGTAATCTAAGTGTAATCTACTTGAATTTTCTCGGTAATTATTTGGTTTCCCAAATCCACAGAAGTCAAGTACATTAGATACAATTTTATCTGAAATTTTTTTTTGCTTTCCAAATGTATTTTGTAGAGTTTTATGACTTTATCCACTTACCAATTATACATTAGGACAAACGGACAATCACGACAAAGTTCGAATATATTCAGGGGATAAAAAGTTAAAAACTAAAAAAGCCAGTTTGTAAAGAAAAAAATCGAAAATGGGAGGAAATAACCAAAACAGTCACTGTTCTTAACTGGAAACTTAATAATTACAAATAATAAATAACCTCTCAAATAAATACTTTTTCGGACAAAAATAAAAAGGAAAATGACCTGGGTCGAAGTTGGCACATGAAAAAGCCAGCCCAAATCCAGTCCCCTTTCACAAGTTTTAACATTCACACTCTGACATGTTCCACCCAAGCAGCGGGGGGACCCAATTTTGAGTTGTAATAAAATATATGGATAAAATAAAAATCTAATCCTTAATTTTGGCATGTCTTCCATCAAGCTCTTGAACTTTATAAATTTGATATTTCACGCCCAACTATGCAAACTATAAGTAAAATCTCCATTATAGATGTGTGTTTTTGTTTATTGTTGTTTGTAAACATAACATATCAATCTTAGTTTTGGAAGCCTAAAAATTATGAAATACTGATGTTGTAAGCATTAACATGACGATTACATGCGGTAAAACCTAACGATAATACACTTGTTTGCACTGAGTTTTGTGTAGAACTCTAGTAAGGACTGACAAGGGGAAAAAAAATGTAACGTATCATGTTACCGTTGGGTGAAGACATATTAGTTATTACTTTTTGATGGGACATTGGATTACATGCACAGGTATTAAGTTGCGGAACAACAACTATGGAAACGAATATGTATTATTAATTATTCTTAACGGTCAAATTGTCTGTGTATAAATACTAAATGTTCTCAACTGACTTTCTCGCATTTTGCCACTGTGCAACTCTGCCCCTTGCTTTATTGCTAGTTTGTGAATCAAGCAAATCACCGCAGAGCAAAACCCAGACCATCATATTCGTCATCTCAATATCTGAAACTACTTCATGAAACGAGCGGCTACCAAGTGATCTATCGAGGCAAAGATGAAAGCGCTCACAGACGGTACAAGTCCTATTACCCTTTTCTTCTTCATCTTCTCTCCCACATGATTGAGCAAATTGGAAGCAAAAATAGTACTCCAATGAGGAGGTTAATAAAAAAAAAAATTCAATAAGACATAATTTCGCGTACGTCTAGGCTTTAGGCAGCAACGCCTCGTCTAGATCCTAGGCAGACCATTAAATCGCTAAACAACCAAAATCACGTCACCATATTGTACTACTTCAGTTCCTCTCCTATTTTTATCTGATTTCAATCGGCTCTACCTTCTTTCTTACTCTTCACCAACATCGCATGTAAAATTATTTTGATCGTTTAATAAATCTAACCGTTGCCTAACACTTAAAAGACAAGAACGTTTACTAACTCAAAGGTCCAAACAGATAAAACTAACAAAGTTGATGGCTCCCTTCCAGAAATCTACAAAAGGAAACTGAGGTAGGACAAAAGAAGAAAAAACGTAAAGGGAAAGGAAATCAAGACCGTCCATCCCCTGGTTTTTGGACAGCGGTTAATTAATTTCTCACCACCACCATCTCCCAACAACAGTAATCCAACCTCCCCAAATCTAACGGCGCCTTGCGCAACCAAAACAAAAAGGGGAGAGAAGAAGAATAAGCGAACCAAAAAGCCAAACAGGCAGCAGAATTCAGAAAGAAAAGAAAACACAGAAAGAGAGAAGACTGAACGCAGAATGGGAACGAAAACGGAAGGAAAAAAGCAGTAGATAGGAAGAGAGAAACATAAGAAGAAGAATTCTCGGCAACCAAACAGTAAAAGAGAAATTTTGGGTTGGAGACTTACCCGTCAAATCTCGTCAACAAAAAAGAAAACGTTCGGATTGTGAAAGTTCTGTTTACATATTTTCCTCTCAATTTTTTTTTGTTCCGTTTCCTATTCGGTTTGAGGACAAATTGTTTTGTGGGTTGGAGTTAAAAAGGCCGGAGAGGTGGGATTTGGCATTCTGGGTTCATCGGAAGGGAAAATTCTCGAGGTGGGTTTTTAATTTTTTTTGTTTGTTTCATCTCCGACGGTGGGTGATGGGATTGGGGAATAGTGAGAATGATTTGATCGTCGATGACTGTGACGGCGAAGGCGCCGGGGTTGCCGACGATGGAGGTGAAGTTGGCGGCGGAGGGTATGGGAAGTCGCTGGGGTCGGTTTCGTGTTCGATTTGCCTCGAGGTTGTGATGGATACAGGGGATCGATCATGGGCTAAGCTTCAATGCGGACACCAATTCCATCTGGGTAAGTTTGGAACAAATTGATTTTCCTAGATTGAATTTCGATGTTTGGGTTTACTGTTTCCCTTTCCATTTGTTTTGGATTCTGGGTTTTTATGTTTTGTTATGGTTTTTTGGTTGTTGGAGTGTTGGGAGGGAGAAAGTTTGAGATCTGAAGGCAATGTTGCTGGATGATGAGCTGGGTTTTGCCCAATTGTGGTTAATTGTGAGTAGCTAGCTTAGATTTTTGTGGTTCGTCTGGAATTTCAAGAGAATATCTCTGTTGGATGGATGAAATTTTCGTACTCTAATACTTCATGAACATGGTGGATTTAGTTGTTGCTGTGGCATTCCATTGACCTTCGATGATGAGGCACGGGCATTCTGAATTTCGAGCTTGCTTTATGAATTTGTTGAGAGCTTGAAATGATTGATATCGGATTGCATGGCATTTTTTTCCACTGCAAATTTTGCAGCTGTGGTTGATTGTGGGTAGATAGCGTGAAATTCCTTTGGTACTATGCTGGATGCTTGGAACGTGCTACTGATAATTCATTCTTATGCCAGCTTTGATCTATGTTGCATTTCATTTGGACATTGACAATAGGGTACCGAATTCACTAGTCTAGGCAGCCTGCTTTGACAATTGCTGGAGAGATTGAAATATGTATACATTTGGGTTTGCATCTGATGTTTCTTTCGCTGCAATCTTGATTCACTTGTTTGTTTGATGATCTTTTGTGGTCTTTGAATGGATAATGGTTAGGATTATGAATGGTTTTTATAGTTGAAAGTGTTGATTTACCTACTATAGAATCTGCGGATGATCGTAGTATAGGTTGCACTTTGTGGATCCTTTATGGGTAGTTTTGTATTTCTAAGCGGCTGCAGACTTTGCTTCAGGGGAGGACACAACACTTTAATGTTGCCAATCTCACTCTTGCTACCTTAATAACTTGTGAATATAGATTTCTTACCCTTTCAGATTCATCGTTTTCAAGGTGCAAGCCTAAAAAAGAATCCAATGGCATATAATAATTGTCTATTTCCAGTACTACCTTTCTTTTGAAGCTACTGGTTCTACTATTCAGAATCTGTAACGGGTGTATTGAGAATGAGTCTGCTGTAGACCTACTAATGATATTTTCTTAGTATTGCCATTAATGCATATTGAGTTGCTGACTTACTTCGATTCAATATGCATTGGTTTGGCTTTCAATACAAAGGGAGTGATGCAATGCCCTAACTATCGGAAAGTCGTTTCTTTGGCAGATTGCATTGGTTCGGCTTTCAATACAAAGGGAGTGATGCAATGCCCTAACTGTCGGAAAGTCGAGAAAGGCCAATGGCTCTTTGCAAATGGTTCTCGTTCACTTCCTGAGGTCAACACAGATGACTGGGCCCATGAAGAGGATGCTTACTATAGCATCTCCCAAGTGGTGAGTTGATATATGAACAAAGAAACTACTTATGTTTGTTATTGCTTCCGGTTGTTTTAAAAGTAAGTTGTCAATAACAATTGGTAATGATGGTAAAGCTCAGTGTTTTCATTTTTTAGTTTGGGCAGGCATTTAAGGGGATACTAGTTTTACTTAAGACTCATCCATGAGCTCGGTTAATGACCTACTTTAACTGGTTGTGCTGTTCATTTATTAGATCTTTCACAATTTATACTGATCTTGGAAATAAAGGATATAACATTTCATTCACTTTCTATATTTCCATCAAGCCAGAGGTTAATTGGTCTACTGCCATATCCATTTCTAGTGAGATTCAGGTTCCGGTTTTGCATTTGTGATAATGTTTAAACCTCCAAAAGACATCAAATGGTCCTAGAGAATGCAAAAATCAAGTACTGTGCCGTTCTTGATATGTTATTGAGAATAGAGATTGTCCAATTGTTTGTAAGCACTTTGATTACTTATGATATCCTCCCCATCAGAAGCTTTTTTCTTAAAGCTAGATATCTTTTACTTGGGGAACCAGATGACCCGTCTTCCTAGTTTCTCATTTATGTTTTGTTTTTTGCAGTCTCTTGGATTTCACTATTGTCCTTTTGGTGGTAGCTTGACGAGACCACCTTCATCCTTTGAGTGAGTATCCTTCTGCGTGTCATTGAAACTTTAACCACTAGTCCCAAGAGCTTGGCCATGAATGTGTTGACCATCTAATTGCTTTTTCCCTTCCTTGAATCGTTTTATTTTCTGATTTGCAGGGAAGGGGAGTTGTCACTGAATGCATGTAAGTTTTTTCATTCTGATATTCTAGTACTGTATTATTTGACATTCCAGTATTATATTTTCTTTCAATCTGATATAATAGTATTGTATTCCTCTGATATTCTAGATCACGATCTGCTGGGCCAGCCTGCTGTTTTTGCGGAACACGCAGCCGCCATATCGTCAGCAAGCAATGCTTGTCCTTATATTGCTTACTTTGGACCGATCCACCCTTCGTCCTCAAGCTCCAGTGCTGGCGTTTCAGATACATCCAACTTTAATGGCCACTGGAATGCTCCATCAGTACCTAGCGACATGGCGAGCTCCTATGGCTTCCCTGCTGCCCTGGATCTCCATTATCACAGTTGGGAGCATCAGTCCCCTCCATTCTCCACAACAAGCAGTCGCATTGGTGGTGTTGATCAGAGTTCCCTCCCTCCGAATGCTCAAAGAGCTGTGGGTAGAAGCAATAATGTCGGTCCTCAGAGAGCAGGATCATTCATGCATCCCTTCGTCATAAATCCAGGGTATGTCTTTGTTTAAGAGACAGTGTTGATTTGGCTGTTTCACTTGCTTGACTGTGTGCTCAATCAAATTAAAAATTGGTGTTCTGCCAGTTATCCAGAGTGTTTACTAGAATTAACTGAACGGTTAGCTGAAATGCAGTCCAATTTACTTATGACAAGATTTTGATTATAAATTGAGAATGTTAGAACTTCATTGGACAACTTCTGCTATTGATTCCTCTCGGCTGGATTTGTCTTCTTAAGGTTTGGAACTTTTGTGAATGAATATCTTAATATAACTTTGGTTTATTTTTTACTCCCGCTGAGTAGTGTGTACTGAGTTTGTTTGAATTTTAGGTTTGGCTTTCACAAACAATTGTTTTTTCTTCTTCTTCTTCTTCTTCAGTTAACTGAGTCTTTCATTATCCATTTTTATACTACTTACAGTTCGGGTGCCAGAGCCGGAAGCTCAGTGCCTCCTTCGGGCACTCCAACTTATCAAGGCAGCAATGCAAGGGCACGCGATCGAGTTCAAGCTCTTCAGGACTACTATCAACAACAGCCCGGGAGCTCCCCACCGATTCATGCTCCTCCCCTGATTGCCACCTCAGCGCGAAGACCGAGCAGCAGCAGCCACAGGGGACTGTCGCGAGTGATCCCACCGACGCCCGACCAGGCTGGGTTTTACTTCTTCCCGTCAGCAGGGACGACATCATCAGGGCGGAACTACCAAGAGCCGGAGAATGCTTCGTCCCGGACTGGGTTCCGGGCATGGGAGCCATTGTTCCCTTTGAACAACAGCCATCCTGATAGAGATTCAGGCTGGGGGCCCACATTCCAGCAAGGCAGCGGTGGGTCCGAGGCAGGTGGAGGGATCAGATCGGTGAGCTTCCGTCAGAGGCAGAATCGTTCGTAGTGTGTTTCACTGCGTGGAGAGTTTTATATCCTTGTTGAGGGGTGAAGTGAAGCAAAACTCGTTTTTACCAGACTGCTGTGGGAAACCCAGAAAGCGGATGAAGAAGAACTATGTGTAATTGCTTAAACCATAACTGATGTATGATGGTTTTGGGAATCGATTCGACGGGGAGCGCGATCGATAGTGCCATGGAAGTGGCCTGAGAACAATGGTGTTTTATTTTTCATGTGGGCAGCTTGGCCTGGCTGTTTTGGCAGTGTGCTTGATTGATGCAGGCTGTGCTATGAACATCATTTGTGGCTTCCTCCGGTTTCTTTGCCTTTCTGAGGATATAAGAAAAATTGTTAATGTTATGTGTCTCTGGATGGTGTATTCCGATTCAGTCTGTTGGCTTTGCACTTTTGAATCCTTCGGTTGCGGACTAACGTCTTCTGGTTTCAGTTGGTTCAGTGTCATCTGGTTCGTTACATGTTCTTTGATGTCATGGCAGATACTGATTTGTTCGAACTCCATACCCGACTTAGTCATTGGTGCGCGCGGTTTAATTTATGTCGAAACTTGCGCAGGGACCTATCGATGCGATCTTGATCTAGATTCCAGAATCTGGTATGTAGTCGAAGCTTCCTCGAATCGATGATGAATCCTCTAATTGAAAGATTTCAAGTATCATTCATTAGGGATCTTCTCCTCTTTCGTATTATTTATTTATCTATCTTTCTTGTTGTACAAGTCAAACTGTGGCAACCAACCACAGCGTTACAAGAAACTCTGCGTTTCAGTCAAATGGCAAACGGAGCGAATCGTAAAGGCAAACCACCGGCACCCTGCTGTGGCACATTCCCGCCAGAATCACCGTCCGGCGTTGCATCCTCCTCCGCTGTCCCTCTCCGCCGCCTCCCGCCGCCTGGCCGCCGATATCCTTCACAATCAGAACAGGTTTGGCGCGGTAAGCCATCGATCCGCTATCCAACGCGAAATGCAGCTGCGGTCCCTTCGGCGCCTGATTCCCGCTAGAGGACGAATCCGTCTCCAATTCGCCGGCCAAACCGCTGTAATTCCCCTGCCTTGTTCCTCCTTCTGCACCAGAATCTCCAGCTACCGGCGACACCGGAAGCTCGTTGTCAATTCCTCCCATCTCGTCGCGATGATCCTCGAGCAAAACGCCGCCGCAATTCGATCTCCCGTTATCGAGGCGATTCCTACCCTCCTCCGTCTCCAAAACCTCGAAAATTGAAGGCCGCGACCTAGTTTCTTTTCTCCGTTCTCCAGAAACGAGGACTTTGGCCTCTCCTTCTCCCGGAATCAGGCAATCTGTTCCCGCTGCGTTCATTCCTTCCGTTCAAGTCACAAAAGCATAAATCTTACCTTCTAATAATAGGAAAACAAGTCACAAACTAATTAACTAGAAAATATAATAGCTCGTTTTTTAATGTTAAAGTAAGCTTCTTAATAGTTAAGTAATCTCTAAACTCGTTTTTAATGCTAAAGAAAGCTTCTTAGCAGTTAAGCAGTCTCTTTCATTCTTCTTTTCGTGAAATGATAACTTGAGCCGCACAAGTATGGATAATTTGGGCATTTAGAATGTTTTTATTTAGGCTATTCTAATTCGTCTTTCTCCTTTTGGACGTGGATTGTATTGACCTTTTAGCCCATGAACTTATCATACTTTAAAGATGAGAAATACTCCACCAAATAAACTTGTAATTGAGCTTTGAATGTTTTCGTCGGGCTTCGAGTAATTGAAATTTTCTTTTGAGCGACATCATCCCACACCAATATTGAAATTGAAGCAGGTTGACTAGTCTTTGATTGCTTTGGTGTTGATGTCCTCATCATTATCAACCACTTGAAAAATGATTATTCCTCAATTACATATTATCGGGGTCGATTAGCATGCAACCCCCTTGATGGGTTGGAAAAATGACACCCCTAGTGTATTAAATACAACTATAGAATTTAATACACACATTAAATACACATTAGAAATTAAATGCACCATATTAATTATTATTATTTTTTTTCAAATTAAACCTACACTAAATACATTCTTTCTCCCTTTATCTGATTTTTCATTTTTCAGCAGCCTCCGACCACTAGACTTCCTCCGACTGCCACACTTCTCCGGTGAAAATCCCATCGGCAGACTCCCTTCGACCACCTGCGAAAAATATACTACTGCACTGGTAGCGATATCAGTGCCCTGGTATCAATGTCATATCTGAGTACCAGTACAGTGGTACAACATATAAGTGCAGTGGTATATTTTCGCAGGTGACCGGAGAGGGTCTATCGGCGAGATTTTACCGGCAAGTGTGGTGGTCGGAGGCTGCTGGGAAAGGAAAAATCAGAGATAGGAATGAGAAAGATCAAAGATGAGAGAAAATTGTATTTTGTGTATGTTTAGATTTTTTTTAAAAACAAGTAATTAATGTGGTGTCTTTAATGCTTACTTTGTATCTTCGTTAATACTTGTCAATGATTAATGAAAAAATTGACCAATTGAGAAAAGGTGTCAAAAAACCAACCCTTTTAAGAGTAGACATAGTATCCTACCCCACATATCATCATCAAGAAAAGGAGCCAATCCTAAAACATTGAAAGAGAACTGACACTATCCTAGCATACCAAGTATCTTGTAAGCATTAGAACTTGAAATGGACCATCTCCACGAGGTAACAACTTAGAACGACTTTATAGCGGAAAATGCTCCTTTTGTGGAAGAGGAGAGGAGAGGAGCAGCCGCAGCTGTAGTAGAAGATCCTACAGGTGAGCCAGTGGATTTGGGGTTTGGTCTCTCGAGAAACAAGGCGAGGTAATCAATCTTTCGTACCCTGTCACAAATTTTATATGCAAACAACTTCACAACCAAACCTGACAAGATACTTGTTTTCGATACTGCAAACAAGTTGTAGCTAGGTCCAATATCACAGTATATTGATCAATCTAACCCATCACGGCAATCCATCCATCTCAACAACCACACATCCATACCATCCGCTAGCATATAGGATCCAGGGTAATACTTAAAGCAAACTCCAAATCAAGTCTTATCTTAGACTACTTCCAACATCCATTGTCAACTGCCTCAAACATCTATTATACTATTACCATCTTCCACGGGGAAGTTTGGGGACCAGCAGCTATCTAAGTCTCCCTAAGCAACCAGCCATCAATGGCAAATGCTGAATGATGACACCTCAATGCAACCTGAGCTCGCCTCCCATTCGAGGTTTAACATCAGTATGGGGACCTTGACCTCGACCTGCAAGAAGCAAAATATCAACAGATCAGCAATGAATACTACTCCCAGTCTTTCGTGATTCAAGTAATCAAACTCCGTCAACATCTTCGAGCCATAGTGTCCCAAAACACTCGCAATCGCATGCATCGCGCGACAAGCAGGTAAGTGAATGAGGGCATGTCATCGGGACAACTTTACGATGCTAATTGAGACTAGAGGGATTCTTGGCGTCCCACGACAGCAACTAGGCCACTCGCGCAGTAATCTGGGCTTATAATACCACCAAGTGAATCAGAATCAACAAGTTCATCAGAGTGAGAATGAGAGACCATAGTCCATATGAAGAGCAATGATGGGGTTGGTTAGCTTTTCACTTCAATATCACCCGGATTACCTCGACACAAATCAAAACAAGGAACTGTAGGCATAAGAGCACCCACATCCCTTCACGTAATTAAAATCCAATCTCCGTCGTGTTGCTGCAAAAAGCCACATCTATCAAACAAACATGAAAGAGTGACTCTGCATAACCTGAAGGGAATAGTTCTACAAAGGAGAAATGCAAAAAGGCCAGAGCGGATATTTGAGCAAAATGGATATGGTTGAAGCTCTCAAGGACACTCTTATTTTGTAGATAGCATTATGAGAAAGACGCTTCTAACTTTGGGAATAAGGGAAACAAAGCGACTCCCAAACCGACTCCGGAGATAGTATACTGGCGGATCTTGTCACACCATATAACAAATTGGATGGGTTCTTTCTTCAAAACAAAGGGGGAAGAACTCAAGATCTGAGTCTATCATATGCCGGTTGTTAGTACGCATCAGAAGAAGCTTAAGACTGAATGATGTGAGATTATCAGGCTTATGAGTGGACGTACGAACAACGTAGTAGGAAAGGCCATAAAAGAACAGGAACCAAGATTAAGCCGAGGTAAAAAAGACTTAAACTTGTTCGACACAGATCAACCCAAAAAGGGAGGAAAATGCACGAGGTTATACAACACCAAGAACCGTAAACAGGGGTAACATGTTTGGTTGTCGCAGATTCAGTAGTGAAAAAGGATTGGTAGAAATTAAGAGCCAAGAACCAGATATGAGGAGCACAGTACCTTGAGACAGACCTACGAGGGGACTCAGATCGATATCTGGCCACAGGAGACACGCTGTAACCAAGAGATGTAAGACTCAATTAGTTAATCCTCTACTAAAATGAAAGAAAATCACTATCTTAAGGGTTGATTAGTTTCTTCTTACCTCCTGCTTATAGGACTGTAGCTGCTGCGGCTCCTGCTCCTTGAAGCATAAGGACTGCGGCTGGGACTCCTGGAATAGCTTTGTGCTGAATACTCGGGACTTCTGGAATAACTTCTCCTTGAACGATAAGGACTTCTTGAGTCATACGGGCTCCTAGAATAGCTGCGTCTGGAGTCATACGGGCTCCTTGAGTAGCTTCTCCCAGAATAATCTTCCCGTACCTAGCAAAAAGTCAAGAAATTGTAGATGGATGCAAAATTATTTAGCCATTGAAGGTAACCGAACCGGCGAAACCCAATGGTGTGTAAGAATGAAACTCCCTACTTACCCGTATATAAGCACGAGAGTATGCATTTCGAAATTCAGAATCATCAAGTTTCCTAATCTGGAAGAACATAAACCCAAATGAGAGACGCCAACGAATGTGGATATTAAATACATCCAAAGAAAGACATTAGGGAATGGACCTACAGCATATTTCATATCATCATAGCTTGTGTACTCCACAATCCCCCGCATGCCTAAAGAACCAGAGAGAATCAACTGAACATCACATCAAGGCTTAAGGGTGTCGAAAGTCATAGTTGAGACTTGAGAAGACAATTGCAAGTTGTGGGCAGGATAATTTCCATCTGTAACATAAATAACCTATGCGAAATCAACTGGAATATACCTCCACGATCACGAAAGACCTGAGAAAAGCAGACATCACCAGCTCGGCGCATATGATCCTGATCATTAAAAGAACGAGAAGAAGCTTAGACACGGCAAGTGACATTCATAGGATCCAACTAACACTCATCAGCACCCGAGGATCAGTTATATATACCTTCAAGTCTTGCCATGAAGCAGACGAAGGCAATCCGGTGACCAGAACTGCATAAAGAATCGATATGGAATTCACAATTAACAACCACGGACTAAAGCGAACACATCAGGTGAACGGAAGAAAACGGTACCGCGATAGTCAGATCGCCTTGATGGTCCACGACTGCTGCTGCTACTGTAGCTGTCATAGCGATCCACAGGTGATGAATGCCTGCGGCCTCCATGAGCAAGCTCAACCTGCAAACAAAAGAATGCATTCAGTGAACATCAAAACACCAGCAAAGCAAGTACCTCCTAAAGTAGACCGACCCAACAAATCCAACTCGAAACAGACTTACTCTTAGGCGGTGGCCATCAAAGTCATACCCATCTCGACCACGAATCGCATCTTCAGCATCACGAGGATCCTCAAACTGGGATGCCAGATAACAATTTGGAATCATGTAAGCATAAGAAAACGCTAATCGAACTACGATGTACATACAAAAGTGGCAAAAAAAATCTACCCAGAAGATGGAATTAAAACTAAAACAACTACAACATGAATGCAACAATCCGCAGAAAAGTTCAACTCAATGCATAGAAACCACAATAAAAAAACCCATCTTCTACTCACTTCAACGAAAGCATAACCAGGAGGCCTCGGGGGCACTTTCAAGTCGATGTCAACAATAGGGCCATACTGCAATTTGAGAAATCCAAATGAGATATACCGATCATTCATCAAGCAATTGATCTGTAACATATATTTCATGATTTACCTTGTAGAACAGGTCTTCAACCTCCCTCAAGCGGATATCGCCAGGAAGATTACCAACGTAAAGAGTTCGGCTTGAACGGCTACTCCTACTCATTTTTTCGTTCCCACCTGAAGAAAAAAAAAACCCAACTGCGAAAACATCATTTTGCTGCACATAATCAAAACCCAGAATCTAAAAACTCAAATGGGAATTTAGAGAGAGAAACCGATCGATAAACAAACTGACCTTTACCAGAGAAAGATGGCGAAAAAATCAACGAAGTAAAACGCTAAGAACTTGCTTGCCCTTTACCAGAGATTTGAGAGAAAAAAGTGAGAGGAACGGAATGTGGGGAAGAAGGAAAGGAAAAGGTAAAAAAACTGGGTTCGTAGAGAGGACACTGGATTCTTCTCGAAGGTACCGAGCAATCCAACGGTTATGAAGGTTTGATCATAGACACGCGTTGGGTCTCGAATGTGACATTTGTAGAAAGCATATGAGGCCGGGGGAAGGCTAAATAGTACGAGAGGAGTTCTGCTACGACACTCAAACATCCTGGTACAAGTCGAACGACGTAACAACTAACAAACGAAACCACACCATCCAGTACACACACAAAAACAAACAAACCAAAAAACAAACGACCGCCACTTGTTCCGTGTGAAAATAAATCGCCAATAATCTTTTCCGATTGCCGCATTCGCAAGGATAGCAACATCATCTTAATTAACAACATCTCGATCGCTTCCTTGGCGTTACCCGATTGGCAGAGGCCGGGATTCCAAGACCCCAGCTTTCTGTCAGGACTTTCGTCGAACACCTTGAACGATAGGCGAGGCTCTTCACACTTCGAGTACAGGGTAATTAACCCATTCTCACAATACTTGTTCGCCTGTAGCCCCAGCTTCACCGCCGTACAATGAAACTGCTCGCCTACGTACCCAGATGGACAAAAACTTGACCCGAGGATTTTCAACACGACGGGGATAGTATAACAATCGGGTAAAACCCCAGCCTGCGACATAGATGCGTAAATTTTGGTTGAGCTGCTGCAAATCGACGCAGCTCGATTAGCTGGGTCGCCATGGAAATGGCTGAATCCTCCTCTGCCCTCTGGTTCATCGGATTGTAGTTGAGCCGAGAAATCGAACCCATTATCAACTATAGATTTTGCTATAAAAAACATATAAAGTTCACCACTTTACGATTGCCCAGAAGGAAAACAGAGAAACAGAGCACCGAAGCAGAGACTACTTATTCAGGGTATATGAACAAAGCCAAAAGGCCGATTGGAGTTTTATACACAGCCCACCATTTTCTTCACTCATGTCGGGTCAAAATACAATTACAAAATCAACTCAAATCCGGGGTTCAATTTCAATCACCCAACAGTTTTGAACGATTCATGGAGATGCCTCAAAGTATCCCGATCACGATTCCACTCGGCCGCCGGCGCACTGACAAAATGAGCATAGAGCTTATTCCTAGCACAAGTCACCTTAATCAAGCTATGCTTCCCCACTCCGTCGATCTCGTACTCGTAATACACCTGGCCGCTCTCATCCTTCCTCTCCTCGCTCGCCACTCCCTCCGCCGTGGCGATCAGATCCTGGAGATCGACGTCGGAGAGCGCCAGATTGTCGAGCACGGCGTCGCGGGGAGCCAGCTGGCGGAACCCGGCGAGGAAAGTCAGGTACTCCTTCTCGGCCTTCTTCTTCGGGTTGAAGAACTCGCTGTCGGTGCCGTTGGTGCCCTTCTCGACTTTGGAGACCAGGCGCTCTTTCCATCCCTCGGGGACGTCGTAGACGTATTCGGTGGAGGCCTTCTTGTCGGAGTTTCCCCCGTAGCCGCCGTAGTTGGCGGCGCTGGCCGCCGTCCCGTAGTAGAGGGAGTAATTGCTTGGTTCGGCTAGGGAAGGGAGGCCGGCGGTCAGGATTGTGGCGGCGGCGAAAGTGGCCGTGAGGGTGGTGAGGATTTGGGTTTTGGGGAGTTGGGCCAGCGGTGGTTTTGTAGTTGGGTCGGCGGAGAAGTGGCGGTGTGATTGGGGGAGAACGGGAGTGGCGGTGGTGGCGATCGAGGTGGCCATTTGGGGGTTGGGGCGGAGCAATGGAGAGTGGCTGAGGCGATTACTTCCTTGTTGGTGTTTTGTTTATCCTCTGCAACCACTCGATTCTCCCCTTCCTCTTATCCATAACCTAAATGGCAAATTGGCAATATCCTTGTTCGATCTGTTGTGTTGATTAAATCCCATCCACAATGGTGATCAACCATCACATCATATACTGCTTTTATTGTTGTTCATGGAGCCAACATGGGTTGTTGAATGAGTTAATATCTTATTTCTGACTCAACCTTTACTCAAATAATAAATTTTGATTCATGATTTTAGAAATTGTTATCCTCAACTAGAGGTTGCAATTGGATTGGATCCACGGATTAGTGGATTGAATTGGTGTATACTGTATACATGGATCAAGTGGATTGAATCAAATGGATTCATGGATTGTATTAAGTGTATCGATTCATGAATCCAAATGACATCCAAGTCTTGGACCAACATGTAAATTTTGAAAAGTTTAAGTACTAAAATGTCATAACAAAAAAATTTAGATACCCAAAAATATTTTTCCAATGATATTTTGCATATAAAAAATTAAATGTTGGGTACCAAAATGTAATATATAAAAAGTATAGGTACTAAATAGTAATTTATCATTTGGATCCATGAATCAATCTATGAATCCACTAATTCAATTGAATTTGGATCAAATGAGTTTGACTTAAATGTTTGATTTAAATGAATTGGATTAGTTGGATATTTTAGTGGATGGATTGAATTGTATTGGTGGATTGGGTTGAAAATTGCCACCTCTATTCTCAACTATACACCATATAGACTCGATTGGGCGAACGCATGGTTTGACTGCAATTTTGAAGGTCAACACTGTTGACTAACGATCAACGCTCCAGCTCACTGCCACATTAGAGCCATCCATATTGGTATTGCATTCTCAATTGCAAGATGACATGAAATGGGTGTTTGAAATTGCAAAACCAATTGCATTGATATGACTATCAAATGCATATTTGCAAGCTTGTAACAAATGCATTTGCATATGCAAGTAAAAAATGCCTAAAAATGGAGCACTTTTATTTTATATTATTTACTTTACTCTTTTACTTTATTATATATAATTTAACATAATTTTTAATTACATATGCAATTGCAAGTGGATTGCATTGATGTAGGTGCAATGACATTTATATGAGTTGGATTGCAAAAGTATTGAGGTGAAAAAATAACTTCATATGCAATTGAACTTGCAATTGCATTGCTGTGAATGCTCTTAGTGACAAATAAAAAAAAATCAAATTCCAAATTATTTCTAAATTTCATTTATTTCTGTAATAATAAAATAAAAAAACCACAAATAAACAAAAAAAAAAATCAAATCCCAAAATATTCCCAGCAACATTTATTATTTTTACCAATATTTATTTTGTTATTAGATAATAGAAATAAGAAAATAATCCGCAATTCAATTTTTTTATAATGTTGGTGCTGATAAGGAATTGAATTGGATCGTTGAACGTTAGTCAATGGTGTTGACCGTCCAAATTAACGGTCAAACCACGCGTCCGGCCAATTGAGTCTATATGGTGTATAGTTGAGGGCAGGATATCAATAACTAAAATCACGGGTCAAAATTGATTATTTAGGTATAATTCGGGCAGAATAAGGTATTAAACCCAACTTACATCTGTTCATCAATCCGTCGACTCTAATCACATAATTGATTTAGTCCATAAATCCACCAATCCAATCCACCGATCCATCTGCCACCTGTAATTGGTATCGATATCGATAAATCTTCACTTGATTATCATTAAATCCATAATGCATTAGTGTAAATTTTTTTTCCTTGTACGGGTTCATGATTCAATAGCTGCATTTGTCGACCCTAAGAGTATCCACACTTCTTTGATTATTTCTTCAAGCTTCTGGTGCTTATTCCATTCAATTAGGGGTGGGTTGATCTAATTAAGTCCTTAAATTCGTTAATGTTGAAATGTGGAAATATCCATGTGCTGTGCATATGAGGAATCCAGGAAGCCAGTTTGCAGGTAGTCGGCTCAAGAGCCAATTTCTTGCCCAAGCGAAAGACCATTGTCAATCTGTAATATCACTCAACAAGACAAGCAAAGGATATCTGAGCAAAGGATATCTGAACACGATAAGTATCTGGAGGCCGACAACCACGTTCCAGACCTTACCAGCCAGCACCAGAGGTGTGATTAGAGGCAAGAGCATATTTAAGATATACAGAGGATTTATCGATAGTGAGTGGTACGAAATCTATTCCAAAAGTGGAACATATTTAAGATATACAGATGATTGAAAACACCATTCGAGATTGACTTCGACAAGGAATGGTGATAATGGTTCTAGCTCCAGCGGTTGAAGTAACCGGACTAGTGGAGAGTGAAACTATTATTAACGACTGGAAAAGTATAATGTATACAGTACACATGTCTGCCCGAATAAACAATAAGTTAGAAACAAAAACAAAATTATAAGGAACTGTAACCCTCTTCAACCAATGGCAATACCGTTAGGACTACAGCAATAGAATACTTGGAAATGGGCCATGAACCAGTCATTTGAGCCCGCCCTTTCCCTGGCAATTTGCAACCTCAAGTGCTCATTTCGCTTTTGCTGTTTCAGTTTGTGTACGTTCATAGTATTCAACTGCAGCACATCCAACGAGAGCAGCCAATGTAAATGCCTGCGCGTGCAACCTGAGGTTCAAAGGTCGAAGTTAGCAAATATTTGATCAAACAGATGGGATAAACTGCATAAGGTCACAACAATTGGCCATCATAACAAATAATCAAAATCGCACACGACAAGATGATCAGTGGCTGGAAAGGGAAGCAATAAGAGCAAATGGGATTGACAAATGCATTCATGGTTTGAAAACCGAACTAGTTTGGAAGACTGTCCAGCCACCATTGCTCCAGTTCAATGACCAAACTACTTATACAGGTTGCGGTAGCTGATAACATTCTACCCACAATTTCAACACATGTAGTTATCAATGAATGAAGGGCGGGGGGGGGGGGGGGGGGGGGGGGGATAGCTTATACCACATATACCACATTTTATCATTGAACTGACTTGGCAATATCCAGCAGTTATTCACAAACAAGATAAAGTTGCTACATTCTCAAACATTCAGGAATTAGAGGAAGGGCATGCTGCCTGAATTGTTCTCCCGAAACCCTGCTATAGTTCCCTACAATCTCCATCCTTGGCATAACTGCTATTCGAACCATATTCATCAAAACATGGTGGAACCCCAAGAGATTTCTATGAAGCTGGACTCTCAAGTCTCAACCATCAATTTCCATGCTCTGCCTAAACACACCATAGTTCTCAACCTTTCCAACTAGGCGGCAGGTCATCATTGCTGTTCAATGGTTTACCAAACACTGGCGAAATCCTAGACATATGTTAAGCCGGGCTCTCAATACATAATCTAGTTTTCCACAGCAGAAACAGGATAACACTATTAATCTACATTACCAGAGAAAGCTGCATGAGACATTAAAAAGGGTAATTTGCTCCATTGATGATGGGATAACCCAAAACACCACCACATCCACACTCAAGAACAAATGTACAAAACCCTAGAAACCAAGAAAGAAAACAAAGCACCAAAGCTCGAAACTTTTATTACCTAGCATGAATAATCTTGACGCTGGTCTTCATGTTGGGTTGCGACCAATTGTACGCTATCGAGCCAGCAATCCCGCTCGCCCACAAGGTCGCTTCAATCAATCAAAACAAAACCAAAACCCCCCCCACAAAACAAAATCAGCTGCAACCCATTACGCGAAAAACCCGAAATTGACATGGATGAGAGGATCTCGGGAGTCTTACCGACGGATCTCATCTTGTGCTCGGAGACCCAGTCCCTGATTGATTCGAACATGCCGTTGCCGCCCTCACCCATTTCTTTTCTCCGGCGAATTCCCTTTGCTTTTTCCAACAAAATATCAGCGGGGTTTGTTTCGGAATAAGATCGAAACCAGAATACCAGATATTTGGCCGCTGGTTTTGTTGCAATTGAAATTCCTGCGCCTTCGCTGGTCCGTATTTATATATTGGGGGAGCCGACGGAGGAAGGAAAAAGCGAACTTGGCGACAATTTTTTTTGTTTGTGGGAGTTTTATTTTAGGCCGCCAGCAGCCACAGGAGGCTAAATGACGTGGCGGCTGCCCGGAGACCTGCCACGTAGGTCGGGTCGGTTTCGGGCACGTGGGTTTTCCATTTGTGGATACCGGGAAAACAAAAGCGCGTTTGGCGGATGTGGGTGGGGAAAGAAATTGGGCTCTAATCTAGACAAAGGCCCAATGTAGCTTATTCCACGGGCTCAAAATCTCCTCTTTAGCCCAAACTTCAAACTTTAAGGAAGGCCCGTAACCAAATTTTTGAAAAACGCGGTTTTGATGTTTTTTTTGTGTGTGTTGTGCTGTCGCCATTCTTTCCCTCTCCTTCTGCTTGATAGCTTTGCTCTCAGACAGATCACATTCCTTTCCTTCCCACCTTTGAAGATTTCAACCTCTGGTCAATCATTCATATTTCTCCTGATATAGAATAATTATAGGAAAATCGAGTTTCCCCTTTGGCAGTTGGCTCAGACGATGAGATAATTAGCTTCCCACTTCTCCTTCCCTCTCCTTTCCTTTCCTTCCCCGAGAAAGAAAAAAAACACAGAGGAAATCACATCATTGGAAGAAAACAGAATATTAGAGTTGTCAATCATGAACGGAGGGAAGAAGAAGAAAGATAATTCATGGAGGAACATTTCCTCCTAAATCTCTCTCTCTTTCTCTCTCTCTATAATTTTCTCCCTGTTCTTTTTTGTTTATTTGCAAAAAAATTTGAGTTTGTGAGGCAAAAATAGGGCCATACCCATCTCGTATCACTACACAAATTTTCCATCTTGAGAGCCTGTTCTGTTGATTTGTTGGATTTGGGGAAGTGGGTTGCAGGTAGCAAGAAAGATGATGATGATGACGATGGAGGGGATGATGGATAAAGGAGTACTGGAGGATATAATAAGGAGGCTATTGGAAGGTAAAGGAGGGAAGCAGGTTCAGCTATCGGAGTCGGAGATCCGTCAATTGTGCGTTAACGCTCGCCAGATTTTCCTCTCCCAACCGGTTCTCGTCGAGATCAAAGCTCCAATTCGAATCTGCGGTACGACTTCCATGCCCCCGCTTGCTAGGATTTTGCAATTTTGCAGATTAGGGTTAATTCTGGTTTAGCTGATTGAGAATTGAGAATCAATTTCTGTTCATAGTGTGGGTAAGGAAGAGATGGTGCAATGGGTGCAATTGGGCAGGGGTGATTGATTTAGGGGAAAGGTCAACGTTTATGGGTTTTCAATGAAAGATGAATTGTTCAAGTGGAATTGCCTTATACATTTACACTGTTGCTCAATTCTTACCTTTGGGATTGATTGGAAATGCAGGATGGAGATATGTTTACTTTGCAATCTTGAATCATGATTAGAAATTCTGTAGTTTTGAGCAATCCAATGATTTCCTTTATCCCACTTCTTTGTAGGTGACATACACGGACAATACCAAGACCTTCTGAGGCTATTCGAATATGGAGGGTACCCTCCTTCTGCAAACTACCTCTTTCTAGGAGACTACGTCGATCGAGGGAAGCAAAGCTTGGAGACCATATGCCTCCTCCTCGCCTACAAAATCAGATACCCTGACAAAGTCCACCTATTGAGAGGCAACCACGAGGACGCAAAGATCAACCGGATATATGGCTTCTACGACGAGTGCAAGAGGAGATTTAACGTCCGGCTCTGGAAAATATTCACAGACTGTTTCAACTCCTTGCCCGTGGCAGCTCTCATTGACGAGAAAATACTCTGCATGCATGGAGGGTTGTCGCCTGACTTGGAGAATCTGGATCAGATAAGAGAGATTGAGAGGCCAACAGAGATTCCAGATGGCGGACTTCTTTGTGATTTGCTTTGGTCTGATCCACATCCGACGAATGAAGGATGGGCGGACAGTGATCGAGGCGTTTCATGCACATTTGGAGCTGATATAGTCGCGGATTTTCTTGACAAGAATGATCTTGATCTTATATGTAGAGGGCATCAGGTACTACTTTCATTCCTTTCTTGGTGTAGTTTTCGGTGTTGATGAATATTGTTATGTTGTTGCATGATCTTTTTGGTGAGAGTTAGGTTAGAGAAGTTTAGTGGTAAGTGTTAACCATTGAGGCTTTTGGGGGAATGTTTTTGACAAGAATTGGGGAGATTAGAAGAATGAAGGATTACTTTTGAGAAACTTGCAAAGCAAGACAATGTTGCCCCTATATGTGGAATATAGGAGACCAAGATATAGAACGCTTGTTACTGAATATCTGATCTTAAGAGTCATTTGGAAGTAATGCAAAGAATTTTTAGGTGGTGGTCTTCTTTTTCACCTAACTGTACAGCCACTGGACACCTCACTTAGGGTCAATTAGTAAGCAGTCACTAAACTCATTTGGGTCGTTAAACTTCGGTTTTCAGAAGGACTTGTCGTTGATGTCAGAAGAAGTTGGCACGATAGCCTGGACAAAATTGGATGGAAAATCTGATAAAATTGGACAAAGTGACTAGTATACGTTAGTTATTCCAGACTTCAGGTACAAGTTTGTTAACTTCAAGATTTAGTGACCGATTTGTTACCTTAAATTTCGGTGTGCAAGTTTGCAAGTTTCTGTCAGGTGATTAGTAACCGAACATGCCCCTTGTTTTGAGATTTATCATGTTTAAAAATCTTCAGGTGGTGGAAGACGGATATGAGTTCTTTGCTCAGCGACGATTGGTCACAATCTTCTCTGCTCCTAACTATGGTGGGGAATTCGACAACGCAGGTGCTCTATTGAGCGTAGATGAATCCCTCGTTTGCTCCTTTGAGATACTAAAACCAGCTTCATCAGCAGGCAGCAGTTCGAAGCCCCTTAAGAAGGTATATACAATCTCCAAATTTTATCTGTTTCTTTCTTTCCTTTTTCCTTATGGGCATATGAAAACGATCTGATGTTGCAATTTCACCCTTTTTCGTTTGGTTTTGAGCAGCCTCCTAAAACTGTTTAAAGCTTGATACAGAGCAAGAATGGAGATTTGGAGTTTTACCTAACTGTTTAGGAGAAGATCTTGGAGTTGAGAAATGCAGGCTTATAGAAGAAAGAAGCTCTCTCTTCTTTTCAAACCCACCTACACATAGCTTTATTCTTTGTTCTTCTTTTCTTTTTGAGCTGGATAACCCTTTATGTAACTTGTTATATTCCTGTTGATTAATTAGCATTTTGATATCTGTAAAGGTAATTTGAAAGGGATTAAGGAAAACAGCCAGATGAAAATTTCTTTTTTGTGTATGTTAGTACAAGTAAAAGGTTTTTTTGGCTTACGAACAAGAGTCCTATTATCCTCCCCCTTAATGCAGCAGAACCAACATTCTGAAACTAAGGTAAAAGTAACAAGAGCCATCGCAGCAAAACTCTATTGTCAAAAAGACCAACTATGGTAGTTGCCAAGGAAAAGGCAACCATGTCTTCTTTTGTACAACAGCCTGACAAAACATCCGGCGAATTCTTCTGCAACTTCAAGCTTTGAGCGATCCTTTGAATTAGGGGATTCTGTAATTCCAACAGACAGCTTGTAGAATATGGTCTGGCAAAAAGCAAATCCGAGAGCGAGAGAAAGCTGCAATAGATGAAAAACATGTGCGTATCAGATTCACGGATTCCAGAGTGATTTAGTTCTGACAAGATCAAAATAATTGATGAACGGCATAGTAGTTGGAAGCATGTTCCAAGAACTTCCAATTTTCCAGTAAATCGTTGATCATGTAAGAGAAAGTACTCAACTCATGAACATCAAGAACTAATCTAAAGACAAACGAAACAGGTCATTATGTGATTACAGTAGAATGCCTATGATGACTCACCATAGTATTCAACCAGAGATCATGCACATATTTGGATGAAACATTCATCTTAGTTTCCTAGCTGCCCTCTGTATAGCCGCTAGCTTCTGACCCCGACTGTAACTCTTCCTTTTGCTACAATAGTCACCAAGTAAATGACATTACTTCTTGCTCTTCAAACCCATAGACCTTTGTAGCATATATAAGTCAGGAAGCAAGAGGGTCTAACCTTATGAACAAGAGTCCTGCAGTGAGAACCATCCCCCCAACAGCCCAAGAAACCCTTTCACTAAATGACATCTCCAGCACCCTTTGCTGGAACTCTTCTAACCAATTCAAACTGACCGGTCTTTGGTGCATCTCTGGTTGATTCCATGAATCAGCAATGTGATCAAGACTGCCTTTACCACCATAGCAAGTAGCTTGATTGGCAGCACGGTAGGAGTGCTCCGCAACTTCAACCCTGAAACCCAGTGCAGTGCAGAAATCGGTTCCATTGGACACCCACTCAGCAGCTCTACCGCAGAGAAAGTCGTTCACTCCACATGGTGCTAGAAACTGGCAGGAAGAGAAAGAAAGAAAATGTAGTTTGTCAAGCCTTCTGAGAGAAGAAAGTAAGAAAAAGTCTGCACTATCTTGAGTCTACATGACTAGTTAGACAATAATGGGTGCCTTTTGAAATAGATTGTGGGTGGTGAATTGTGAAACTGTTATTGTTCGGATGGAGTATCTTATCCAGTGGATTGTGAGTGATGGCTTATAGGAAATGAGATCAGAAGGCAAAATTAGCATTACAACTTCCACAACTTTTTTCCTTATTAGTTTCTCTCACTGTGCATGATTTTTGGAGACAGTTTATAGTAATTAGTGAATTAAACGGGACAAATTGTCCAACAGCGGAGAGATAAAACATCACCTACCACTACCATCAAAGACCAACTAAACGAGAGATTTCGGCCAAATTCATTTATTGATGGATTCAATGAAACAAACAACCCTGCCATTCAAATACATCAACCAAATGGCCCTAAAGCTTTGCTATCATATCAACTGATTTCCGATAGAACCTAGACTGATTTCATCATCATTTGATGAGTTTTAGCGCTAATAGATACTTAAGAGACAGGAAATGATACCCGTGTTTTGGAATCCATGGAGAAGTAAGCATCGCCACAGGATTGAAAGACTCGGTCACAAAGAGAAGC